CACTTTTACCGATGTTTATTTTTTCAAATGACTATTTGTCTAGTAGATATGTAGTTAATAAGGGACGATAATGTATAAGTATCGTGTTGTGCAGCTTTGTCCTAAATTTATGGAATAAACTAACAAATTTATTACAATATAAATAAGAAGGAAACATTAAGCAAAGAAAAAATGTCATGAAATGTCGGGTTAAATTAACATGATAAAGTTCAATTTATACTGTATTTTTCTCACCATCTTATTCGTTTAAAGTTAATAATATAATTCTTAAGATCTTTAAATTTTGTTCATAGTCATTTTCTTTAGATACACACATACTCCCCACAAAAACTTTAGTGTTATAGTTTTATTAATTCAGAAATGTATGTAAATTTAAGTTTCATTAGCACCGTATTTCCAAGAAAAATAGATAGTTCTGAAAAAAGTGCTTAAAAGTGACATAATTTGTTGCTTTCTTTTTAAAAAAACAACCGATAACTAGTGATTTTAAAAGATATACATAATTTTGTTTTCCTGGCATAGTCGAGTTTTTTGTACTATATCCTAATGAAAATAGTTATGGAAAATATTAGTTTTCTCAAAGAGAATATATCTAAAGAGACAAATCAAGTTGATTAATGTTTAACAGTAGTACTATTATGTTCTTTTACTACACATACTTTTTGGTCACTAATAAAAAGGTAAGTATACAAATCAGGGTGTTCAGTTTGACGATATTGAATTTTAAACATTGATTTTCCATTTTTCACAATAGGTTTACTTTTTAGCACTAGATAGCAGCACATCTTAAATGTATGTAATGCCAAGTCGGGACTTTTATTTGCAAAAATAAAATATCTACTACTAAAAATCAGGTAAAAATAATAAAGAAACATTTACTAAGTTCAGTGCATTAGTGGTTTGAGTCTTTAAATAAATGACAGCTCTGTGAACACGACATTAGCGTCTGAGTTTACTTAATACCAGTCTCTTGATTTCAAAAAACGTATTACAAAGATTTTCCTTTTTTTCAAGTGAGTCTCCAGATGTAGGGATGGACATTAGGAATTTTAAAAAGTCAAGCGAGAATGAAACTTTACTTAAAGCTACCAGATTAATAACATTTCTTTTCAAATGATGGTAACACTACTCTTGTGACTGCTCCATTTGTCATAGACAGTCATTCTATCTCTACTGATGTTTCTGTTACCAAACTTTCTCATGCTGATGTTATGTCCCATCCTCCTGGCATAAAATTTGACCCAAAAGATCTGTCTCCAGTCGTTTCATTCTCTCTACAGATTTGAACTTATAATCTATGGATATCATTT